ACCCAATTTCCGACGTTCGTTGCGTTACTTGGTGAAGAAGTTTGACACGGATGTTTTAGCGTTATTTGAAACACATGCGGAGGGGGAAAGAGCTGGTCGGATCTGTCAGAGGTTGGGATTCGATCATTCTTTTCGTGTTGATGCGACGGGTCAGAGCGGGGGGATTTGGCTGTTGTGGAGGTCGAGAGTTGGGCAAGTGGAGGTTGTTAACTCGTCGAACCAGTTTATTTATGCGAAAGTACGGAATGGGGACGACTGTACAAATTTGGTGGCTGTGTATGCGGCGCCAACAGTGAGTCGTCGGAGTGGACTTTGGGAGGAACTCACGGACGTTCTTCAAGGGTTGGTGGATCCTTTGATTATTGGAGGTGACTTTAATTCCATTGTAAGAGTGGATGAACGTACGGGAGGGAATGGGCGTTTGTCGCCGGATTCTATAGCGTTCGGGGAATGGATCAATGCACTCTCCCTAATTGATATGGGCTTTAAAGGAGGGCAATTTACATGGAGGAGGGGAAGGATGGAGAGTACATTTATATCTAAGCGGCTGGATAGGGTGCTTTGTTGTGCTCAAACGAGACTGAAGTGGCAAGAAGCGACAGTTACACACTTACCATTTCTGTCGTCGGATCATGCTCCGGTCTACTTGCAGTTATGCCCGACAGATGCAAGCGACCCAGGACGTCGACCATTTCGTTTTGAAGCGGCTTGGCTGAGCCATGATGGTTTTAAGGAGTTAATTACAACGTCCTGGGATTCTACTATCTCGACACCCGAAGCTCTGAAGAGGTTACAACGGACGTTGCAGAAGTGGAACAGAGAAGTGTTCGGTAATGTTCATGCTCGCAAGGCAAAACTCATTGGGGATATCAATAGAGTCCAAGCTTCTATCCAAGAGAGTCAGACGGATGAGTTATTAGAAAGGGAGGCCGGGCTGTTGGGCGAATTTGATAGTATCTTGGAACAAGAGGAAATGATTTGGTTTCAGAAATCAAGGGAGAGTTTTATTGCTCTTGGGGATAGAAATACTCGGTTCTTTCATACTTCAACGGTCATAAGGCGTCGGAGAAACCGTATTGAGATGTTAAAGGATGGAGAGGGTCGCTGGGTGTCGGAAAAGGGCGAATTAGAGAGTCTGGCAGTAGAGTATTATAAACGGTTATATTCGCTGGAGGACCTTAGCCCGATGAGAGCACTGTTGCCAGCCGAGGGTTTCACGGCTATGTCGACTGCGGAGTTAATGGCGTTGTCAAAACTTTTTTTAGCGGAAGAGGTGGTGGCTGCGGTTAAGAGAATGGGGAAGTTTAAGGCTCCCGGACCTAATGGGTATCAGCCGGTTTTCTACCAACATAATTGGGATACGGTTGGAGACTCGGTTGTCCGGTTCGTGCTACAGTTTTTTGAGACAGGCGTGTTACCCGCGGAGGCGAATGATGCACTTATCGTCTTGTTGCCAAAGGTTGGGAAACCAGAGAGGATTCATCAATTTCGGCCGGTGAGTTTGTGTAATGTACTGTTCAAGATCATTACAAAAATGATGGTTATGAGGATGAAGAGTGTGATTTCGAAGTTGATAGGACCGGCTCAATCGAGTTTCATTCCCGGGAGGCTAAGTATCGATAACATTGTAATAGTCCAGGAGGCTGTGCATTCCATGAGACGGAAGAAGGGCCGGAAAGGCTGGATGCTATTAAAATTGGATCTTGAGAAGGCATATGACCGCATTCGCTGGGATTTTCTCGAGGAGACGTTGGGGGCAGCAGGTTTCTCTCCTCAGTGGTCGCAGCGTATTATGGAATGTGTGAAGAATCCGGCCATGCGTTTACTTCTGAATGGGGAGAAGACGGAAGCGTTTACACCATCCAGAGGGCTAAGACAAGGAGATCCCCTCTCTCCTTACCTGTTTGTCTTGTGCCTGGAAAGACTATGTCACCTAATTGATCGGGCGGTTAGTAACGGGGAGTGGAAATCGATTAAGATTTCTCAGAGTGGACCACGTTTATCGCATGTTTGCTTTGCAGATGATATCATTTTGTTTGCTGAAGCTTCGGTGGCACAAGTTCAAGTGATCAGAAGCATACTTGAGAATTTTTGTATGGCCTCGGGTCAAAAAGTTAGTTTGGAGAAGTCCAAAATCTTCTTCTCCTCTAATGTCAGCAGGGATATGGAGAGGTTGATTAGCGAAGCAAGTGGAATTGGGGCAACAAGAGAGCTGGGGAAGTATTTAGGGATGCCTATTTTGCAGAAGAGGATTAATAAGGAAACATTTGTGGAAGTTTTGGGAAGGGTCTCAACGCGGCTAGCTGGTTGGAAAGGCCGTATGCTGAGCTTGGCAGGGCGCATAACACTAACGAGATCAGTGTTGTCCTCAATACCGGTTCACACAATGAGTACTATCTTGCTACCCGCTGCGACTCTAGCTAGATTGGACAGATTGTCACGTGAATTTTTATGGGGGGACACGATGGAAAAACGGAAGATTCACTTGTTATCATGGGAAAAGGTGTGTAAACCGAAGCACGAAGGTGGGCTGGGCTTACGTATGGCTAGTCATATGAATAGAGCGCTGTTAGCTAAGGTGGGTTGGAGATTACTACACGACAAGGAGAGTCTTTGGGCAAGAGTCCTAAGGAGCAAATATAAGGTTGGTACGGTACATGACTCTTCTTGGCTTGTGCCCAAAGGAACTTGGTCATCCACTTGGAGAAGCGTGGGAGTGGGCTTGCGGGAGGTGGTAACACTTGGACTTGGGTGGGTACCAGGGAATGGTAGGTCAATACTTTTTTGGACGGATAGATGGCTGCTGGCGGAGCCGTTATGGTGTTGGGCTTGTACAGCGGTACCGGATGATGAACGGATAAAAAGCGTGGAGGAATATTGGATCCCTGGAGTTGGTTGGGACATGGAGAAACTCGGCTTCTTTCTTCCCGAGGTTATAAGAAATCGACTTTATGCGGTGGTTATAAAGGGCATCCCGGGATTGGTTGATATTTTGTCATGGAAGGGGACCGAGAATGGAGTGTTCACGGTCAAGTCTGCGTATTCGTTGTTGACGGCTAAGAAGGAGCTGAAACCTTGTATGGCTCATTTTTTTGATAGGGTTTGGCATGTAAGGGTGCCGGAAAGAGTGCGTGTTTTCCTTTGGCTCATTACCCATCGAGTGATCTTAACGGCTGTGGAAAGAAAGAGAAGACATATGGGGGAGTCGGATATATGCCAAGTGTGTGTGGGAGCAGCGGAGACGATCTTACATGTGGTAAGGGATTGCCCCGCCATGGCTGGTATTTGGAATCGGCTTGTGGCGAGTAGGGAGCGCCATGAATTCTTCCACAAGTCTCTGTTGGAGTGGCTTTATGATAATTTGGGGAAGCATTCCGGATCAAGAAGTGACAATTGGCCCACTTTATTTGCAACCTCGGTATGGTGGAGTTGGAAATGGCGATGCAATGATGTGTTTGGTGAGAGAGGCTTGTGTCGGGATCGACTAAAGTTCCTAAAAGACAAGGCGGCTGAAGTTTTAAGAGTACACGGCCAAGGGATTGACGACTTAGGTTCGACCGGGAGGGTTGAGAGGTTAATTTCTTGGGGTAAACCAACGGCGGGATGGGTTAAAGTCAATACAGATGGGGCTTCACAGGGGAACCCGGGGAGGGCAGCGGCCGGGGGTGTGATTCGAGACGAACTGGGAGAGTGGGTGATTGGTTTTTCGTTACATATTGGTGTGTGTGAGGCGCCCCTAGCAGAGTTATGGGGAGCGTACTACGGATTGGTACAAGCATGGGAGTGTGGTTTTCGGCGAGTGGTGTTGGAAATTGACTCCTTGTTGGTTGTGGGTTTTCTTAGGTCAGGGGTGAACGATGCTCATCCGCTGGCGTTCCTGGTACGTCTGTGCCATGGCTTTATTTCACGGGACTGGCTGGTCCGAGTTACTCACGTTTATAGGGAAGCTAATCGTCTAGCAGATGGGTTGGCCAACTATGCTTTTTCTTTACCGTTAGGATTTTTATCGTTTAATGTTTGTCCGGATGAGGTTTATCCGCTTTTGTTGGGTGATATTAACGGGGCTACGGTTCCTAGACGTATTCGTTTGTAGTTTTATTTTTGTTTAATAAATTATAGGGGACTAAGTCCCCTGTTTCCGACCAAAAAAAAAAAAAAACATGTAATCAACTTTTTAATTAAATATCGGAGGGTTTAAAAAAAGAATGCAACTCGAGAACTTCTCGAAAAGTCACCCATCCTAGTACTACTCTCGCCAAGCACGTTTGACTGGGAATTCTGATGGGATTCAGTGCATTTGTGCTGGTATGATCGCATATAATATTGGAAGGTTGTACAGCAAAAATAAATATCAAATTAAAATTTAATTAGTTTTATGAGATCCCACGTTGCAGAGAGGTTTAAATGAATTGATTTGGCCACCTATGTCGCCAAAGTACACTTATCTTTTCGGTCAGAGGTCATGAGAGAACTCCACAATTAAGTGTGCTTATGCTAGAGTAGTCAAAGGATGGGTGACCTTCCGGGAAATGGGTGACCTTCCGGGAAGTGGTTGTCGGAACTGTGTGAGTGAGGCCAACACACAGAGAAAGATCATGTGGTGATTTATAGGGTCGGTAAACAAGTATTTAAGCCTGCAAGACGTAGCAAACCGACCATCGGATATTGATGGGCTCAGGGGCCTAATGACCCAAAGCTCATTCATTGTCAAACAGATGGAGTATGTTTTTTTTATATATATGTGTATAAGAATCTTAAAACATCGCTTAAAATCAAACAAAATAAAGTACGAGATTTGCAATTATGAACCATTTTCATTGAGATAATATACTGATTTTTTTGTTTTTTTTTTTAACTGGAATTAGATAATTTATTAGTCCTTTGACTCTTTGAGGGCATGAAATAAAATTGGAACGATACACATCATATATTAACATAATTTATTAGAACTTGGGTGGCTCCAACAGCAAGTTGTAGGAGATTCCCCATATGTGTTGTCATCTCCATGAGACTTTTAGAAGCCGAGTCTTTGTTTCTCCCGATCCAAGACTCTACTATGTTTATTTCGTCGAAACACATCTGAATATCATAAATTGCATCATATAGAGATGTCAAGTCTCTAGTAGCATACTTGAGTTCCAATACAATCCTAGAGTATGCATCTTGGCATTTCTTGAACGGTTCCTTTAGAGCCGGTACCTTTTCTGCTGCTCTATCAGCAGATTTCACCAACAACTTGGCATAGGGTTGGCAAATGCCTAAGAACACGACTTCCGCTAGTGGGAGCTGTATATGAAAATATTAGCTAAATGTTTTTTAATGTACATAGTATATATTTCTAATTATTTGATACTAATGAGTCACAAAACATAATTGCACTCGTGATGATCACAATATATATATATGTGTTTTAAATTATACGCCTCTCTTTGGGAGAAACCGGGTTCGAACCAGAATTTGCTGAGAAGACAATAAAGATGAGAACCACTAGCAACGTTTCCACAATCATGATAATATATATGTTTCCACAAAGTTTTAACAAAAAAAAATGATATAAAAATCTGAAAAAGTAAATTATAAAAATAAGATATAAAAATGAAAAATATTAGCTGTAAAAAATAATGAAAAATAATACTGAAAGATGATTATGATATTAAATATTTTGGTTTTTTTTGTTCAGATCCGGATCTGCTTCTCCCAAATATCCTGTTCTTCGGAACGACTCCCGAATACCGAATAATTGATTTCAAATCTGATATCCTATACGCATATAATATATACAGATGGTATACACCACATATAAATTCAAAAATTAAATTGACAACCCTTCCATCTTAAGGCATGATAAAACATCAAATAAAAATATGCAATTAGAAATAACTAAATATTTGATAGAGAAGAAAAAAAAAACTAATATGTGGGTTAGATATTGTTACCAAGGCAGTGGCTGAAACCGCAGGAGGATAGGCACTCAATGTTTGCAAACAAAAGGCTCTGTCTACGAGAGCCTTCTGGCATAATTGATCGATGAATTTTGTGGAGTTCAAGGCCGAAGCTGAGACTACGAGAGATTGTAGTAAAAAAGCTACTGATACGAAGAAGAAACAATAAGAGGAAGACACCATTATGTGTAGTGAAATTGTTAATTTACATTTTGGTGGTTCTTGCATTTACTTTATACCTCTTGCATTTAATTCCTCTAGATTTGTTAGCATCTGTAATAAAGAAAAAAATTAATTTAGGTTGACCAATATGTAAAGGGGGTATATTATTGTATGGTGATTTGGGATGCTTTTTTTTTTTTTTTAACAATCTCTCCTTATTGGATTAGTGATTCTATAAAATATATTAAAGTTTTCGTCTTATTGCATCTACTACTTGTTAAAATTATTCCAAATCTATGGTTATTCAAACTAACCATTTATTAAACAAAAAAAAATCAAATCTCAGGGTATTGGAAAATTGAGATTTCAAGAGTATTTTTGAAAAATAAAACTTATAGTATTTTTGGAAAAATACCCATTTTATTAGTATTTAAGAGAATTCCCCGTAAAATTATTCTTAAAAAAAATGATTTCAAAAGCAAATTATAACTAAAATACATGGGTTGAAAATCACAACTTGTATAATGATATTTGAAAAGAATTTTAAAAAGTGATTTTTCTTTTCTAATTAACAAATTATATGGTTACTCGTTGTTTTCATTATATAACTTGTCATCTCGTCACTTCTTTCAGAAGAGTTTCCTAGATCTCAAAAGATGTGGTGGCACGTGACACCAACAATTGAACAGATGGAGTGATTGCTCCAAGAAAAACATTGTAAATGAGTTTGTTTTCTCTATACCACGAAACAATACACGCGGTGGTGACGGTTGGAGTTGGGATCTCCATGGAACCATCAAGATATCTCGTCAAACTATAACCATCGAGTAAGGCAGAATCTGAAGGCTCCACATGAGATAATTGATGGAGGTCAGCTGGGGGACATTGGACGTGTTGATGTTCAAAAAGGTTTGTGGAGTGAGAGCAGTAGCCTATTTATTGGCTATTTACGACTACATTTGGCGACTACAAAGAAATATAGCAACTATTATACGACCATAGTGCGACTAATTTACATGTAGGCGTTACATAGTGGCTAAGTGGAGACTAAAACATATAGTTGGTAAAATCGCCGCTAAACGGCGACTGTTATGCGACTGAATGTCTGAAATGGTTAGATAGTCGCTTTGTGGTTGCTAAATCGGCGACTAATTTGCGACTTATGCGGCAATTCATTAAGTAGTCATTAAATGACGAATGATATGCGACTCGCCGCGCGAGTCGTAACATAGTCGCTATTCAATCGTAAAATTTACGCAAAAACACGTTTTTCGTTTTGTGGTAGGTGAGTTTGGTGTTACCGGTTTTGGCGACTATGGTGAATTGTCATTATGTAGTCGCAATAGTCGACACTGGCCCCACAAAAGCCCTAGAATCGCCTCTTGTCATTCTTCACATCCAATCCATGCACCCCAAAGCACCCTAACACAAAATCATGCAATAACAACACGAAAAACAGAGACACGACCACATAACACATATCCCAGTCATCTACACAATCAAAACACACATCCGAAGGCTTAACATGCTTAGATTAGCCATGATCCTACACTCACCTCTTATTTGGATTGACTGGGAGGAAGAAAACGACCAAGAACATACCACAACAACATCACTTCATACCCACAGCCACGAAGTCACTGATTTACCTTGAAACTAGCCTCTGAATCCTCCAAACCCCCTTCAAAGCCTCACTTTAAGCCCCAAGAACAACACTTCGACTCTCTAGTTATCCCTTTAGCTCTTAGAAAAGGACAAAGCTAAAGCTGAGAAGAAAGTGACTGCTCTCGAGTGTTAAATCGAGTCTTAGGGTTTTCCCTAATTTGCATTAAACTGATCAATTACATAATCAAACCTGTTAACCACGCCAACTAATGGTGTCGACCGACACCCTTGTAAATGGGCGTCCAAACGTTGCTTCTAAAAAGCCATCTCGGAACTGTAATTTTGGGTTTCTGGGTTAATAGACTTTAAAGATAATTATCCAGAAAGTAACATCCATAACTTCTTGGATTTAACTCCAAATAAAAATATAAGTCTATAAGATCATAGAGTAGAGTATGAAATTTGCAATTATCTATTCATTTTTTTTTTGGTATTTGGTGTTTGGAATTAGATAATTTTATTAGTTTTTTTTTTTTTTTTTTTTGATAAACCCTATCGGCTGTTCCGGTCAGCCCCGGTATAAACGCACCGAAGTGCTTCAGAGTGGACTTCTCCCCAAAGGGCCACCACACTGTCTATCCCGAGTTTGGAATGCTTTCCGACTAATGCCAGGGGGTAGTCAGGCCGCCTGCATTTCTGACTACCAGGTAAACCAATTGGGCCAAGACCCAATTGACAGACTTCCCACACAACAATGATTTTTTGTTTCCAGGGTGGATCGAACCTGGGTTAGTTCCTTCCAACCATTCCCCAATTCTCCCTTACCACTGGACCACTGCTGTGCGGGCAAAAATATTAGTCCTTTCAAGGTCTTTAAATAAAATTTATTAGTTTCAATCATATATAACTCCTCATCTTTTGTATCTTTATCCTCCGACAGCTTCGGTGGCTCCAATAGCGAGATGTATCACTTTCTCCATATGCATGTTCAACTCCATGAGACTCTTAGAAGTCGAGTCTTTGTTCTTCCCGATCCAATAATCTACTCTGGTTGTTTGGTCGAGACAAACGATAGTTTCATAGTTGGCGCTAGTTGGAGATGATTTGAGGTCTTTTGCAGCAACCTTGAAATCCATTAAAATAGAAAAGTATGCATCTTCGCACTGCTTGAACTGTTCCTTTAGAGCCGGTACCTTTTCTGCTGCTGTATCCGCAGCTTTCATCAACGACTTGGCGTAGGGTACGCCAATGCCCAAGAGCACGACTTCCGCTAGTGGTAACTGTATATGAATATGAAAATATTTCTAAATTTCTGACACTAGGAATGAGTTACAAACATAATTGCACTTGTGATATATATTTTGTGATTCAAGACACTAAATATTTGATATTAACTCCATGAGACTCTTAGAAATCGATCATTTTCTTGTAGCGCGATAGAAAACAAAAAAAAACTAGTATGTGGGTTAGATATTGTTACCAAGGCAGTAGCGGAAACCGCAGGAGGATAGGCGTTCAACGTTTGCAAACAAAAGGCTGTGTCTTAGATACTAGCCATCTTGCATAATTGATTAATGTATTTTGTGGATTTCAAGGCCAAAGTTGAGACTACGAGAGATTGTAGCAAAAAAGCTAAGAAACAATAAGAGGAAGACACCATTCTGTAGTCAAATTGTTAATTTACATTTTTGGTGTTCTTGCATTTACTTAATATACACCTCCTTGCAAGAATTTAGTAGCATCTATAATACAGAAAGAAATTTAACCAAGAATTTATTTTAGTTTGACCAATATGTAAGATATTTAGTTTGATTAATAATTCAATACACTAAATATATGTTTCCTTTTCTTTTTAATTTTAGTATATAATTACACCTTTACAATTTTAACTAGTTTTATTTCTTGTTTTTATACAAGTTTTTTTAATTTTATAGAAGATCTTTGTAATTAAACAGATTTGTTATAGAAAATAAGAATTCAAGCATAAGAAACAATATAGAAAGGTTATAAAACAAAAAGACCAAATAATTCAGACTTAATTAGTTTTCTCTATTTAGGAAATTGAAAATTAAAAAGAATTCTACCAAGGGATGCTTTCGTGGGTGACGGATTCTTTCTTTTGTGGAGGTGCTTGGATCATAAGGAATCATGAAGGAAATGCTTTATTTCACGCAAGGGATGCTTTCGTTCCGCATATCAATAGAATCTCGGCTGAGCTTTCCTGCATTTTGTGGTGCCTTCGGAGTTTAAAAGATCTTCATATAATGTCTTGTGAAGTTTGGACAGATTGCAACGCGGTTTTAGCGGCTTTGGAATCACCATTGGAATGGCCGAAGTATAGAGCTCAGCTTGACAAGATTATACAAGAAAAATGTGGTATGGGGGAGATTTCATTTCACCTGTCATCTACAAAAGCTCATTCTTTGGTTAGAGAGATCGCGAGCAGTGTAACCAGGGACGGACGCTTAACTTCATACTTAGCCTTAGGCGGGCCGGCGTGGTTGCAGGAACGACTTATCTTGGATAGCCATTGGAGCTGGAAGGGCCACTTTGGTTTAATCGGTTAACTTGGTTGATTTGTTTTAAGTTTGTTTCCTTTGTTTTCTAAATTTTCTTCTCCTCTATATTTCAAACTTTATTGGTCATTTTCAGTCAATGGGAAAAAAAAAAAAGAAAAGGAATTCTACCGTGGGCCAGTATATACACACATAATGAAACAATTAGACAAACAAGTTTCATGAATTGTTTTAAACTTTTACAGTAATGGGGATGATTAGGATAATACATAATATTGACTTATTGAGCGATAATTAAAGTGATAACTAACGCAATTGACAAGTGGCCATTCAGTTTCTATAAAACCACATTGTTTTTTTTTATATATAAATTCTTATGTTATTAGTTTTATAATATTTGAATATCTTTTTAGTTTACCCATGAAAAATCAACCATTTTCTCCATGAACACATTACACATACTATCGCTGTCTAGAAAATAAGTGTGTACAACGTCGTACATCTACTAAATAATTTGAACAATGGTTTATATCCTTATATATATGACTAATATGCTTCCAACTTGATTTATCAGCCCACGAAATTTATATATTTTTGTTAAATCTAAGAAGGTTTGTTAAATATTTTAATGAAATCTTATATTATAGTCAGTTGATAGAAAAAATTGCAAGTGCTACATCAGTTAAATATTTTGGAAAATGGATTGAAATCATTATAAATATGATCAATATTATAATCTTTTAACAAGTTTCAAAATATTATAATTAAAAAATAAAATATTATAATGTTGAAATTTTTTAAAGGTTCAAATATATTAAATTTATAGAATATTTAAATATTATAAATATATTTTTGGAGACATAAATGTAATTTTTCAACTGGTCAGAACATGATATACACTATTTAAGTTTTACAACCAAATACATTTTAATACCAAAGTTTACATAAAAATGATCTCGAATTATATGAAAAATTGTTCATTTTAGTGAATTACGGCTCCTAAATTAGATTACTACATCAAATTTTGTCAATGGTACATACAAACTGTTATTAACAAAATATAGGAAAAAAGCGAAAATTTACCCGAACTATTTACTGGCAGTGTTTTTACACCTAAACTACGATATCCAGCAAATAGCAACCTAAAGTCACAAAAAATCAAATTTCAAACCTAAACTTGTATATGAAATCAGCCAAAATAAACATATACCGAAACGGTGTAAGTTGGTCGCTGACACCGTGGTAATGACGGAACATCAGAGTTGAGTAATATGACGTCGTTTTGTGAGTTTAGTATTTCCGAATCAAATAATTGCTAAAGCAAAAACTAATCGAATCTTCAATTAGAGAACCCTATACTCACAAAATGAGGTCGTTTTACTCAACTTCGATGCCCCTTCATTGCCACGGTGTCGGCTGACTCATCGTCGTTAAGTGGTTAACTAACACCGTTTCGTTATATGTTGATGATGGCTGGTTTCATATAGTTTAGGTTGAAAATTTGAACTTTTTGTGAGTTTAGGTTGCTATTTGCCGAGTATCGTAGTTTGGGTATAAAATACTGGTTAGCAAATAGTCTGGGTTGATTTTCGCTATTTTTCCAGCAAAATATAGTATTCAAATATTTATTAAATCGAATTTAATATAAATAATTTTTAAATATACTGTTTGAATATAGAGAATTTGTTAGGAATGCCCTTTTAGTGGGACATATTTGAATCGATATTATTAATAAATTAAAGTATCATTAATCTGATACTTTAATACATGTTAAATCCTTATTTTACTATTTTCAGCAAGCTCAATATAAGACTTGCCAATTATAATGACTTATTTAAAATTTGTATTAATAAATATAAAAAAACTCCAACAAAATCAGTAAATTTTAAAATTAAATGTAATTTTAAAAATAAATAAAAGTTTGTCATGTAGTGTACTGTGGTTTAAAATCTAGTAGGAAACCGTCATATTTTCACACCAGAGTTATCATATCGTATCAGATAAATTCCGGACTTTGTTCACGTCCAAGATATTCATGAAACAGTGTATGACGACATATATTCCCATGAATCGGAAGTTTTATTCCTAAATCTCCCCAAATCCATTGTTCTCATCTATTTCTCTGTAAATCTGGATTTAATTGGTAATATTGGTTTACTATTTGTTTAACCGAGTAAGAAAGATACTAAACCGAATAAAACTTAATCTAAACCAATTACAAATCAGTTACAACTATGTAATTGGAAGTTTGAAGAAAATCAACCTAGCACATAAGGGAGTATGTAACCAATGTGTCACTTAGTAGTGTGAGTTTATGTGACCAGTGCGTCACTTAAGATATACAATTTAAACTAGAAAATCAAACCCATATCATAAACTATATAATATATATATATATATATATATATATATGTATATATATATATATTGAAAGAAAAATAGTCTTTTTACAACTAGTGCATCATATATCATATATATTCATACCAAAATATTTTAAATAACCACAATATTCTGAAGTTTGTATATATATATATCTGTCAAAAAAATAATCAAATTTTATTAAACTTATTTAAAAAATAAATACTATTTTGGGTACCCGGATTTGAACTGAAAATAACCGAAACCGAATCGAATCCAAACCAAAATTTTAAACTAACCGAAATGACCTAAACTCCCCTATCCAAAATACCGAGAAACCAAATGGATATATCCGGAACCAAACCAAAGACTGGAACACTCAGGACTACTAACTTTCAAGAATCATGCATTGAACCAGACAAATGTGTTGTAGGCAAAAAAAAAAAAAAAAAAAAAAAAAAAAAAGAAAAAAAAAAAACCAGACAAATGTGTTGCTCTGTTTGAGTCATCTTTAAACATGCTCTTTGAATGATGGATCTCTCTGTTTTTTGCTTTCACTTTTGCAGTAAAGTCTGCTCTTTTATTATTATACCTTTGTTCTAAAAGATATCTCTCTCATACTTCTCTCTCTCTCTCTATTCACTCTCAACTTCAAGCTTTCTCCTTTATTCTAATGGCGATTATCACAGAAGAAGAAGAGGAAACAAAAACCCTAATCCCACCCAAGAAGAAAGTTCAAAACTTGAAACCAGAATCATCCAACCCTAAACCCCAAACTCAAAATCCTTTCCCATTTTGGTTCTACTCTACACTAATCGTCTCACTCGCAACTCTCATCTTCATATCTCTCTCTCTGTTCTCATCTCACAACGATCCAAGATCTTGGTTCCTCTCACTCCCACCAGATCTTCGTCAACATTACTCAGATGGAAGAACAATCAAAGTCCAAGTAAACCCAGATGAGTCACCAATCGAAGTCTTTGTTGCTGAATCAGGTTCGATTTATACAGAGAATGTTGTAATAGTTCATGGGTTAGGTCTTAGTTCGTTTGGTTTTAAAGAAGTGATTCAATCTCTTGGATCAAAAGGGTTTCATGGTGTTGCTATTGATTTACCTGGAAATGGATTTTCAGATAAGTCAATGGTAGTGATAGGTGGTGGAGATAGAGAGATTGGTTTTGTGGGTAGAGTTAAAGAAGTTTATGGTTTGATTCAAGAGAAAGGTGTGTTTTGGGCGTTTGATCAGATGGTTGAAACTGGTGATTTGCCTTATGAGGAGATTATAAAGATTCAGAATTCGAAAAGGAGAAGCTTGAAAGCTATTGAGTTAGGTAGTGAAGAAACAGCTAGAGTTTTAGGTCAAGTGATTGATACTTTGGGTTTAGCTCCTGTGCATTTGGTTCTTCATGATTCAGCTTTAGGTTTGGCTTCAAATTGGGTTTCTGAGAATTATCCGAGTGTTCGAAGTATAACTCTTATTGACTCTAGTGTTAGTCCAGCTTTGCCGTTGTGGGTTTTGAATTTACCGGGGGTTCGAGAGGTTTTGTTGGGGTTTTCGTTTGGTTTTCAGAAGCTAGTGAGTCTCCGGTGCTCAAAGGAGATGACTTTATCGGAAATTGAAGCTCATAGGATACTTTTGAAGGGAAGAAATGGGAGGGAAGCTGTTGTTGCTTCGTTGAATAAGTTGAACCATAGCTTTGACATCGGACTATGGGGGAATTCAGATGGGATCAGTGGTATTCCGATGCAAGTGATTTGGTCTAGAGAAGGGTCTAAAGAATGGAGCGACGAGGGTCAATGTGTAGTTAAGGCTCTTCCAAAAGCTAAGTTTGTCACACACTCAGGCAGCCGATGGCCTCAGGTTAGAGATTCTTTGGACTTTAAAACTCATTTTAGCTATATTGAATTTGTCAAAGCAGAAGGTTTTGTGTTTATACTAGTATGTAATGAGTAAGGTAATGATCACATCCAATTTCAAAATTAAGACTGTAGTAATTAACTATCGTTGAGATTGTTAAAGTCTGATTGTTCTCCTGTACATACTTATCTAGTCGATAAGAACAGAGCATCTTTAGCTCTATAGCTTCTCTTTTGTGATGCTTGACTTGTTTGAAGAACACTAGTGAGTTTTACATTTATTCGATAACTTGTTGAGTTTTCTAGTTATAAAATAGAACTTGCCATGTTTTCGATTAGACGAGAGTTCTTACTGTCACTTGTATCATTGAAGGGTAAATATCCGAGAGTATTAACATGAATTCAAGATTGGTTTCACTTAGTGTGGTTTTGAGTCCTTTAAACTTGTGGTCATTTTGATGATGCAGGAAAGCAAATCTGGCGAGCTTGCAGATTACATTTCTGAATTTGTCTCTCAGCTTCCAAGATCCACTAGACGAGTTACCGAAGAACCTATCCCGGAGAATGTTCAGAAAGTGTTAGAAGAAGCAAAAACTGGTGGTGAGTCTGGTGACCATGACCATGGGCATGCCCATGCTGGTTACACGGATGCTTATGGTCTTGGTGAAGAATGGACTTCTTGATATGCCTTTTGAGTTCTTGTTATTTATACTGTGTGTACCCTTTAATTTTATAATTATTTTGTGTTCTTTTCTTTTTGGGGTTTGATGTTTGAGATATATACTACACGATATGAATCTGTGTGTGTGTTTTTTTGTGTGCTCGTAACAGAAGAAATATCAAATGAGATAATTGAAGCCAAAGAAGTAGAGCCATGGTTTTGGTTTTTGGATTATAAAAGCTCTTACTTGGCTTGTCAATAAACTAAGATTTTGGGATTTAGTTAGTCTTAGCATTGTGCAGTCATGGTTGTGTTGGATTGTGATAGTTTTGTTTGGCCTTAAGGATTGGTATTTCTTGAACGTTTTTTCCACAACATTTGGATCCACAACGCTTAATTCTCTATGTACAAAAAAAAAACTATTTACAACACTTTTACTAAAATAAATAACTATGATTCATCTTTCCAAAAGGAAGGAATATTCCATCCAAAAATTTTCCCCCCCAAAAACTTTCCCGCCAAAAAAGTTTCCCGCCAAAAGAATTTCCGCAAAAATTTTCACGCAAAAGAAAAATATTTTTTCAAAATTTTCCTGCCAAATTTTTTTAAAGGGTTTACAAGATTTTTTAAAGGGTCTTTTAATGGGTTTACAAGGGTTTTTAAAGGGATTTACAAAAGTTTTTAAATGGTTTTTAAAAGATTTGTAATGGTTTTTAAAGGGTTTTAGAAGCCTACAAAGGTTTTTAAATGGTTTTTAAATGATTTACAATGGTTTTTAAAAAAATTTATAAGTTTATAACAGTTTTAAAAGGATTTACAAGGATTTTTAAAGGTTTTTTAAAAGGATTTACAAGTGTTTTTAAAAGGATTTAAAAGTGTATTTAAAGGCATACAAAGATTTAAAAATAGTTTTAAAGGATTTACAAGAAGTTTTAAAGGGTTTTAGAAGTTTACAAAGGTTTTTGAAGGGTTTACAAAAGTTTTTAAAGGTATTACAAGTTCTTTAAAATTGTTTTTAAGGATTTACAAGGGTTTTTAAAGGGTTTTAGAAGTTTACAAAAGTTTTTATTAAATTATTTATCACGGTTATAACTTATAAGGGGTTTATAGGGATTTACAAGTGTTTATAAATGTTATAAAATGATTTACAATAGTTTTAAAGGTCTACTCAAGTTTTGAAAGGTTTTGGATGACTTTTTAAAGATTTACAAGGGTTTTTAAAGGATTTTTTAAAGGATTTATAGATATTTACAAGGTTTTTTTAAGGAATTACGGAAAAATTTTTGTCGGAAATTTTTTGGCGGGAAAATTTGGCGGAAAATTTTTCGGAAGGAATATTCTTCTTGTTGGAAAGAATATACCTTTCTTCATCATGAGTTATAATAAAGGGGGGTAATTTAGTCATTTTATACATTGAAGAGGGTATTTTTGAAAATAGACACCTAGAGAGGGTACTTGTAGAAAAGGGTATCATTAAAAAGGTTAGTTGTGCAAATCTCCCAACACAATATGGCATATTGTTTTAACATGTTGACAAAAATTGACCAAAACATATGCATGAGTTTATCACACTCAACCAAATTAATGGTGAGACCACTTAGACTTTAATTAGTTAACTAGATTTTAACATGCGATATACTGCGGGACGATATTTTAAATGTATTTTTTGTTCATTTTGTTTGGTATATAAAATTGTATTACTGTATTGTGTTGTTCTTTTTGTTTTTGTCAAGAATGTTGTTAATTCTATGATTTAACCTGTGGAATATTGCATAAAATTTTGTTTTTTTATATAACATAATTTGATCAACTTAATTAAATAAATCTAATATTTATAATAATGAGATGATGTTGGCATAACATCTTTCGTTTAAATAGTCTAATTTCAGATTAAATTTTTTGTGAGTTAAACTATATTAGACAGTCCGTAAAAAATCTATGATCATAATTATGTAAATTATAATTCGCTCCATCACGCGACCCGTGTTACACAATTATCAATAATAGTTTAGTACATACATTTTTTGTATCGATTAAGTAATATACATCCGTTTTAAAATTTTCAAGTTGCAACATATGCGGAAAAAAATTATATTTTAATCATACATATGTATTATGTAATAAATATAATTTAAAACCAAATAAGATGATATAAAGATATTGGACATAATTTTTTCTTTTTAAAAATTTCATTATTTATTTACTTTTATGACTAGTAAATTTTATTGATTTCATACATGAAATATGCAATAATACATTTTATTTATACAGATTTCTTTTTAATTTTATTTTTCTTCATGTAATGTAAAGAAAATTTAAAACATATATTATAACAAATAAATCCTTTTGAATTTAAAAAAGAAATAGAAAAAAAAAAAAATCCTTTTGAATTTTCTCAAGTATTGGTATTAATATCTCGTGGACATCATTTGTTGGCAAATCATCTCTAATTTGCTTTACATTAAACTCTGTGGATAAGCTGCTTCTACGCCGATCAAAAACGCCGCCGACGATAATCTCACCGGCGCCACCACCCAACCCACACCGTCGATCTATCAACCCAAACACAATCTCTCCGATGGCACTTTCTTGCCGTGACACACTAATCCTTATCTTCCAGAAGCTTACCGTCGCCGATCTAGCGCGAGCGAGCTGCGTCTGTAAAGTTTGGAACTATGTAGCAACAGAGGACGATCTCGTTGTATCGGCGTTCACATCGCCGTGGCGGATCAAAGAGCTTGTTGGAAGACCAGCTTCTGGTTCGTTCTGGAGAGACAACGGAATCTGGAAATTTGCGATTTCTCATCGGATTTGTCGTGGTGATAGTGTTACTAGCCTCGCCGTTAAATACTCCGTTCAGGTAACGAATTGATTACCTCAATTTTGTGTTTCTTTGGAAATGTTGATCTTGGATTCAGATAGAAATTAGGATTTTTAGTGAGTTTGAGAGAACATATTGGATTGTTCATAATATTTGCTATGTTGAATCTTATCTATAGAGTCAGAAACTTAAGATCTATGTAGATCATGAAGCTTGACTGGTTTAGTTTGAATTTTGCTTAGAGGTACTTTGGAAGCTTAATGATTATCTTATGTGTTGTGATTTAGTGTGTAAAATGTTTGCATCTATTAAGTTTTTGTTGGTTGATTTAGTTTTCTCTTTCAACTTCTTAGTAGCTATTGGAACACTGAGAGTTAAATCCAATGGATTGAAAATTTGTGGCTCTGTTTTGTGGTATCTAGTGCTATTTGTCTCGTTTACGAGTATCCCAGGAACGGTCGGTTTGTTTAGTGACTAGCTCTACTCGGCCTCTGCGTATTAGTATTATCTTAGTTCTACCTGCGTTGAGAATACTATGATCATTATGTCTATTTCTTGAAGAATATATCTTAAGTTTCCAGGGTCTCTTCTCTGTCAAACAATAGGGAGAGTTTTATCGAAATCGAAGATGTAATGTAACTGAATGTTTTCCCTTACGAACTATAGGTAGACTTTCACAGTGCAGGAACTTTGTAATATAAATTGTGTATGTAGGTATTCGTATTCCCCTTGATGTCTATGCTCTTCGTTAAGCTTTGTAACATTTAATTGTTTTGTTCCTCTCTATAAGCTTTCTGAAAGCATTAAGCTCCCTTATATGAACTTATGTTTTCATGTCCTATGGTTCTTTCCCTGTGAATCTTTGTCGATCCAGATCCAGCTTTCACTATAATGTCTTTCCTTCTTATACAATGTGTACAATTTTTATTTATCACTTTATTTCAGATCGCTGTTTCTATTTTCTTTTGTTATTAGATACTAAAGTTTGTGAGCAAAACTTGAATCCAAATCCATGAGCTAGACTTGAATATTTCACCTTTTCCTTGCATAATGTAGGTTATGGACATAAAGCGGCTAAACAACATGATGAGCGACCATGGGATTTACTCAAGAGACAGACTGCTAATCCCGATAAGCAACCCCGAAATTCTTGCAAACACAACATGCTACGTAGAGCTAGACAAATACGCCAAACGCGAAGTAGCTGTGCTTTACCTCGAAGGTGCACCAAAAAGAGAACAACCTGTATCTGATATGAATAAACTATCCAACTTATCAGCCGATGGAAAACGAAGACTGATTGAATCTCTAAGGAGAAGCATGCAAGTCGACGATGGAACCGCTTTATACTACTTGGCTATCGCTGAAGGAGATCCGAGATCCGCATTGTCCGAATTCTCGGCTGATCTTAAGTGGGAGAGGCAGGCTGGTCTCAACTAGGATTGGCTAAGTAAGCTCCAAAGGTATATGAGTGTTTATAATGTATATGATAAATCAAAATATTGTTGTCTTTTCGATAAGAAATATACATTCAACCATGTTAAGTATAAGTATACTTCATAAATCGATAAAGTTCTTCTTTCACGGTACTGGTGTGGTTAATCTTATGTATTTACTTTACTATTTATTCAGTTTTGAATTGTGAATGTAATCTATAGTTAGGTTAGGTCCACTAATTATTGCAGTAAGGATGATTTAACAATTTTTAATTATCATCACATTACTTTGCACTATGTTATGGCATGTAATTGGGAAGAAATAGCATTTATCCAAATTATAGGCAGTACAGTAATATGATTCAGAAGCAGTGAGATATTGAGATGATTTATTATTGTCAATAGAAAATTGGTTTTAATTAATTGAAAATGTAAATTACCAAAATATTCATTTTGTCAATGAGACAAATTAGTCAAAATTGTTCTCGACTAGATTTTAAATATGCGGTAACAAAATTTTAAGTGATTAATTATGATTTAAACAATTTTTAATTTATTTGGTTTAAATTCTAAATTATACATTTTGTGTCTAAGTAATTTATCATATTGTTTGAACCTGGTACATAACACAGAAAAAGTATTTTTTTCCTCGTATTATGTTCTATATTATCTTTATAATATTAATCTGCTATAGTATTTTTGCAAGCATTTTTGAAGAAAATTAAATGCATATTTATTGCCAAAAAATTCATTTTTTCTTTTAAAAAATGTTATGTTGGAGGAAAGTTTCGAACTACAACTCTTTTACCACTAGACTATATCAATGTATTAGTACTAAAATGTAAACATATCGTGTATATATATATATTTGAAAACAGGTTAATATTATTTGCAAAAATTACATATGAATGAAATTATTATAAATTATATTTGTTTTAAAATTAAAATTTATACACGGTTGTATGACGGGACGAGTTTGAATCGATATTACTAAAATATTAATAATATCATTTATCTTATACTTCATAACTAATTAAAACTTCATTATACTATTTTTTTTAACAACACTAATATAAGACATATCAAATCAAGCTGATTTAAATAAGTTTGATATTGGAATTTAAAAAAAAAACTAAAAAGATTTGTCCCGTTGTGTACCGCGGGTTAAATTAGTTTTTATTGGTAAATTTCTTATGTTTTGTAGAATAGTATAGAGCTATGGTAGGTTAAATGTATTTTGTTTGTATATTCAATTTTTTTTTTTTTACATCATTAAAATTAAATTTAAGTTGTAAACTGTTTACTATAACAAAAAAGTTATTGGAAAATCAAATATAAAAATAATATTTTTTAGAAACAGATAAACACATTTTAATATATGTCTAGATGTAAGTTATTACATATTTTTATTATATTAGCTTAAAACCTTATACTGTACTTGTCGTGTTCATCTACAATGTCAACTAAACTAGCTTCCCTAGTGAATATTATAGTACTAGCACAAACCAAACCAGCCACATAGGTTAGATCATGTAACATTCAAGAGTTAGATAAATAGCTATCAACTATCATTAGCTACTTGTCTAATTGATGACAAACTCACATCACCATCATTTTACTATAAATAGAAGTTACCATTACCCTAATTACAACAAATACACTGATATCTAAGTAGTAATTAGTCATGGCTAAGTTTTCTAACACCATTACCCTTATCTTCGTTGCTCTTCTCTTTTCTGGCTTTGGTGAGTAATGTTTCCTCATATACCTTGAAAATGTGTTTAAGATTATCCTTAACCTTTTCATATATATACATTCGCAGAAGCACAAACAATTGTGAAAGGACCACTCTGTAGTAGGAAAAGTGAGACATGGTCAGGATGTTGTGTAAACGATGGTCAGTGCAGGGATCACTGCGTTAGCAATGATAGAGGATTAAATGGATATTGCGCTGGTGGCTACCCATCATACAGAACATGTTTCTGTTTTGTCGCTTGCTAATATATACCAAAGTGCTCTTTGTTTCTTGTGTGTTTATTTTACATATTATGAGTTTGTGAGTTGTGAAGATGACTTTGTGACAAGTGTGTTTTTTTTTTTTGGCCTACATGACATGTATGTTTATGTTTCAAATGTTTGATTATGTACTCTTGCAATACTTATTATATATAAAATGGCAATACTTACAAGAAAAATATCTAATGATGTAAATAACATTTTAGAAATTGATGTGGCATTTCGATTGGTGCTTAGTTCACTCCGCCGCAAAGAAAATATATTTAAACTAGACATATTTTATCGATACAATGAACGGGAAGAAACCGATTTTTCTTTATTTGAGTCTTTCGTGGGAAAATTAGGTGGAAGTTTGTAAAAAGAGAAGTTCAAATTACAACGATGAACATAATACTTTTCTTTTGTTCTAAATATATATTTTTGTCTTATATTTGAAAGCTCATGTTTTTAAGACGGCGTCTTCTTGGCTTTTTCTAGCGGAGAGTATCTTTGCGACAATGTCATAGTTTCGTTGTTATTTTGTCGACAAAAAAAAAATGGTAGTGCAGTAATATGATTCAGAAGCAATGAGAAATTGAGGTTATTGTCAATAGAAAATGGGTTTAAGTTAATTGAAAATGTAAATGACCAAAATATTCATTTTGTCGATGAGACAAATTAGTCAAAAATGTTCTCAATTTTATAATATTTACTAGGTTTTAAATCTGCAGTATAAGGCGGGACAAATTTTTGGTTATTATATTTTAAATAATTTTTAATTTATTTGGTTTAAATTCTCAATTATACATTTTGTGTCTAATTAATTTAACATATTTTTTGACCCATAATATAACACACGAAAATATTTTGTTCTCGTTTATGTTCTATATTATCTTTTCTATTAATTTTTAATGGTAATTTTGTTATGTTTTGTAGAATATTATAGAGCTATGGTAGGTAAAGTTTATTTTGTTTGTATATTCAACTTTATTATTTTGTTTTTACAGCATTAAACTTAAAACTAGTTGTAAATTGTTTACTATAACAAAAAAAAATATTGTAATATCAAATATAAAAATAATATATTTTCTTAGAAACAGATAAACATATTTTAATACATTTCTAGTTATAAATTATTAAATAATTTATTTTATTAACTTAAAACCTTATACTTGCCGTGTTAACCTACAAAGTCAACTAAACTACCTTCTCCCTAATGAACATTGTGGCACTAGCCCAAGCCAAACCAGGCACTTAGGTTAGATCATGTCACATTTAAGAGTTATATAGATACTTATCAACTCTTATTAGTACTTGTCTAATTAATGACAAACTCAAGTCACCATCTTTTACTATAAATAGAAGTTTAACATCACCCTAATTAAAATAAATACACTGATCATATCTAAGTAGTAATTAGTCATGGCTAAACTTTCTAACACCATTACCCTTATCTTCGTTGCTCTTGTTCTCTTTGCTGGTTTTGGTGAGTAATGGTTTGTTCATATACTTTGAAAATGTGTTCAAAATTGTTCTTTCATTTATGTTACTAATTAAACTTTCATATACATGCGCAGAAACACCAACAGTTGTCGAAGCACAACTTTGTAGTAGGAAAAGTGAGACATGGTCAGGACGTTGTACAAATGATTATCAGTGTAGGGATCATTGCGTTAACAATGATAGAGGAGTAAATGGATATTGCGCTGGTGGCTACCCATGGTATAGAGCATGTTTCTGTTTCTACACTTGCTAATATGATTTATCAAAATGCTCTCTTTGTTGTTTGTGTGTTTATCAATTTTACATAAAAATAAGTTTGTATCATTCTAGGGATGACTTTATAATGACATGTAATGTTTATGTTTCAATGTTTGATTATGTACTCTTGCAATACTTATTATATATAAAACGGTAATACTTACGAGAAATATTTTTTAAAGGTGTAAATAACATTGCGAAAATTGATGTGACATTCTGATTGGTGCTTAGTTCACTCCGTCACAAAAAAAACACTAGACTTTAAATAATTTTCTCCATATATTTCATCATAAGATGTTATGAGTATTTATACATGTTGAAGGTCAGCGATCTAGATCTTAGATCCGAGAATATAGGAGATATACATGAATCAAAGATTTAATATAATTTACCCAAACCACTAATCATAATAAGACCACATTATTATATTTTCATTCTCTTAAACTCTATCTTAATCGACACCGATTTACTTCGGTTATAATCTCATTAGAATAGACATTTGAAAGTAGACATATTTGATTGATACGATGAACGAGAATAAACCGATCTTTCTTTATTTGAGTCCTTCGTGGGAGAATTTGGTGTAGTAGTAATAAGACATAGACACCCAAGATTCCAAGTCCTTCTTCTGAGTCGAAACACCCAAACTCAATGTTGGAATGTGTCTCTTTCGTGAATTCGATGATTACGATGAGAGACAATGGCCCAAAGAAGATTATAACAGAAATGCTCAAACTTCATAGCCCATAAAAGAGGCTATCACATTTATGAGACTTGATTCTTACTTTGACGTCGACAGTTTCAATATATTTTTCGTCCAATGATTTTGTTGTTACAAAACTCAAAAATTTAAAGGATTACTTTTGATTGATCAACAATTTAAATCAAATTAAATTTATGAAAACAAGATTAAATTTAAACGAACTATTTTCTTTTTAAAATTCCAATCTACTATTAAAGATAACAATATCTCACATTAGAAGTTGAGTAGGATCATGACTAGTATATAAGATATATGAATCTCTCCACTCATTGCCAATTAGTTTTAGGTTGGAAGCCCATAATCTAATATGCTGTCAGAGCCTCGACCACACATACTCAACCCAATCCACAATCGGTCCGGCCCAATAGTTGGCCTACCGATTCATGCCCGAAATTACCGAGATTTATGGTTAAAAGATTCGTCATTTCGAGGAGGCGTATTAAGAATAACAATATCCCACATTGGAAGTTGAGTAGGATCCTGACTAGTATATAAGATATATGAATCTCTCCACTCATTGCCAATTAATTTTAAGTTGAAAATCCGCAATCTAATATCTATGGCTCTCTCGTGGCTAAGAACCAATTTATTCCAATAAATGCTTTCACCTAAAGTTCACCAAGAATTTGGTTAAAACCACTTTATCAAAAACAAAATCCTAATGTTGGATGGTAAATTATTTCATGTTATGTATATTTAAGAAACAATAGTAAAGAAAAATATATGTTGTTTTTATTTTTGTTAAAGGGCCTAAATATATGTTGTTAATGTATTCGATTAGCTAAAAACATTTTTTTTTCATCGTACGTGTTCTATTTCTAATTAGATCGGTAACTAGTTGCTCTAAAAAAGATGTATATTCATATCGTGTAGTGCACGTTTACATCTTTCCATTCTATGACGTGTAGGTTTTATCAGCACACATGCACAAACTCAATTACACTTTCTAATAATGGCAACTATATCAATTACCATTTTTTTTCTTCTAGATCTCTTTCATTTGCACTAATTCGTCATATGTGGGAACTAGCTGGGAACCATTTCGAAATTATCATTTCTTTTTGTCAACTCATATATAGCAATTATATACATATATTATGAGAAAATCCTCTATATAATATATATTACTACAAATCTATTGGTTGGATAGAGGTCCAACGAAGACAATCTTGACTACTAAAAAGAAACATAAAAAATATTCAGCTATAAGAGTTGTGTACTGTTTTGAACCTCGCAATCTCACGATCAGCACATACACAAAACAATCACACTTTCTAATAATGGCAACTATATCAATTACCAAATATATTTTTTTGCTCTAGATCTCTTCCATTTGCACGCATTTATAATTTATTAATTTGTTTTTGTCAACCATATATATATATGTAATTATGTATGCATATAATATAAGAAAATTCTGTATATATTATATTGTTACAAATTCTATCGGTGGATATTGTCCAACGAACATAATCTTGACAACCAAAACGAAGCATAATAAAAAAAAATATTCAGCTATAAAACTTGTACTGTTTTGAACCACACAATCTCACGATAAGCACCCCCACTAACTCGATCTGACCATGCTCGCAATTTATTGAACACAACAATAGCAAACGAAATTAAGTAAGAAATTTACGAGCTTTTCTATATTTCAAGAATATATATACACTACAAAAATAAAAGGCATTATATAAAAGTACATTATTAAATCTACATAGAAGTTAGAACCATATTAACGTTTTCATACTATGCATACTATGACAGTTAGAGTTATATAAGCTCCGAGCCTACATAGAGTTATATACGCTCCGAACCATACCGTACTGCAAAACCGCACCGCAACAGTGTTGTAACAGTATCAAAAAATATATCTATATATATTTTAGCTACTATTCGAACCGCATTGCACTTCTCCCGCAGTTACCATTCGGAGCCATAGTGACTTCATTATGTATATTTTCACGTTTTTTGGCCAAATGAATTATTAACTCAGATCTGTAGTCGACATGTCTTTATAAATTAATGTAAAAATGATACTATATGGAACTATGGCTCATTGACACAAGCCCAATTCAACTTCAAGTGATTATGCAACGTATAACCCTAATCACAAATTTTACTGATAAATGTTCAATATGTTTATACTTTATACTTTATCGTATAGTAATACATGTAGGAAAAAAAAAAGTATTATTAAAAATGTTCAATATGTTTACTGATAAATGTTCAATATGTTAATATCAAAAAGTATTATTAAATATATATATATATATATATATATATATATATATATACGTTTTTGTTAAAGTCCACTCTAAATAATTTTGTAATGAATAGTTTAATTATTGTGGTTATCAATCACTTTCAGAAGTCAGAAATATGTAAAAACCGCCACATTTAAAAACGAATAAGATAATCAGAGGTCAATTCAAAATATAATTTCCCAATCTGAAAAAAAAAATAAAAAAATCAAAACCTTTCACGTCTTTCTTTTAAGTGATTAAACAACTCCAACGTGTTTCATGACTTTTATCCCATAATCCAGAAATTCGTACATTAAAATATGTAATCAGAATTATGATATAATAATAAAATTAGATCTCCATAACTATGGGAAGCTAATTTAGACGACGTTCCTATATGTATATGTCTATTATGATACAATAATTCAGAATTGGTCCACCTTTGTTGACGACATGGATTTTAATATAAGTAAATGGGTCATGGAACCTATTTAAAATATGAAATATAAAAATTACATGTTTAATAACATTAGTATATAAATGGACCGCTTTAACAAAAAAAAAAAATTATGGACCGTAAAATACACAAATTGGTTTTTGAAGTCGACTTAAAACATGCATATCTTTTTTTTATTACAACTTTTTTTCTTTCTCATTAGTTCTTCATTATTAGATATAGTTAATATAATTCTAAAGTAATAAATTATTTAGAACATATATGATTATAATGAACAATAATTTTATGACATAGTTTTCCTACAACACTCGTATTCTACATGCACGACATCTAACAGGAATTCTTTTCGCAACATACGAGACTATACGAACAATTGCAATGTTTCCAATATATATACTCTAAAAAAAATATTGCGTTCTGAGAAAATTTCCTAAAAAATTGAATTTCATACTTGGTGTAGAAAAATATAAACCCATGACCACTGATACTAGCATTTATATTAAACGTTATTATCTTATTTTAATTAATGATGTTTTATGACAAAATAAATTATATGTTTTCTTGATATATGTAACAACTTTAAATATCATTTAAAAAGAATTAAATGGGCTGCAACTCTCTTATTTACCACGACCAATTCGTAGATAGTAAAAAGGAAAATTTAATAAAATAATAAAGAATGATTATTTAAATGGTAAATTACAATATAAAATTAATACCCTAAAGAATAAATAAGAAGATTACAAAACTCTTCCACAAACAGAAAAAAAAAAACCTAAAAAACCACCGGAAAAGAAAAGATTTGGACGGTCTATATAAGAAATATAGTCATTCACTATGAAAACGATAATAATAAAAATGATTAATTATGTAGTTTGAAAAAAAAAAGAATGATTATTTAAATGGTAAATTACAATATAAAATTAATACCCTAAAGAATAAATAAGAAGATTACAAAACTCTTCCACAAAACAAGAAAAAAAGAAAAAAAAAACCTGAAAAACCACCGGAAAAGAAAAGATTTGGACGGTCTATATAAGAAATATAGTCATTCACTATAAAAACGATAATAATAAAAATGATTAATTATGTAGTTTGAAAAAAAATGATTATTTAAATGGTAAATTACAATATAAAATTAATACCCTAAAGAATAAATAAAAAGATTACAAAACTCTTCCACAAACAGAAAAAAAAAGAAAAAAAAAACCTGAAAAACCACCGGAAAAGAAAAGATTTGGACGGTATATAAGAAATATAGTCATTCACTATGAAAATACTAATAATAAAGATAAATAATTATGTAGTTGCAAAAAAAAAAAAAAGAATTATTACTTATACCAACATGCCCACGAAACATCAAAAAGATAGTCTTAAAGAACAAAATCTTATGCATACAACCTTTATATATATAATATATTTCTAATGCATAAAAAAAAAAAGAATTATTACTTATACCAACCCACGAAATATCAAAAAAGATAGTCTTAAGAATAAAATCTTATGCATACAAGCTTTATATATATAAAATATTTCTAATGCATAAAAAGTTACGTGAACGTTTGTTCTATTAATCAACTGGTATTAGCAGCCGGCC